AGATGTTTTTGCAGCTGCACTGAGCACAGCAGGTCCTGGGAGCCCCCCTGTCCCCTTCCAGGCTCTGGCTGGTGCTGGGTCATCCCCCCCCTCCACGCCTGGGGGGCTCTGGGTCCCCCCTCCCCAGCACCTTGCGGGAGGCTGGAAGGAAATGAGACCGAAGATGGGGATCAAGGAAACAAATGCATCTTGGAGACAGGCTCAGGTCTCGCCCCCCTGGGGCCCCCAGCCCTTGCAGCCCCTTAAATTGCTTTATCTACATCAGGGATGTTCCTCGACTCATTCAAACAGTTGCAGGTTTAGCAAACAGGCTCGAAGTGACCAGGATTTCTCATGAACTTGCAGGTATGTTTAATAGCAACGTTTGCATCAGGCAGCTCTCCCAAGAGTTGTTGCAGGAGTTTGGGATGTAGGGGAAGCTCGGTAAAGAGTGATTTCCCAGCCCGGGCTCTGGCCTGGGGTTCTCTCTACAAACCTGACCCTGGAGCTCTCCCTGGAGGAGGCAGAGCTCCCTCTCCCCTTTCATTCAGCCAGAAGGAAAACTCAAAAAAAAAAAAAGAAACTCAAGCCTGCGATGAGGAGTGTCCCACTCTCCTGCGCACAGGGCTTTGCCTGTTGCTGATTTGGAAACTCTCCCTATTTTCTGGCTCGGCCAAGGGAAGGGGCCCTGGTACCTTTTGTCCTCTGTGCTTATCCCCCTCCCTGCTTCCCCCAGCCTTCCGTGCTGCTTTAAACCAGAGGGGCTCCCACCCCGGTGTGCTGCAGGTGAGCAGGGCAGGGGCAGCCTCTGCCCCCCCGCCCGGGGGCAGCTCCTGGCTGCTCCCCACTGTGGCCCTTCAGCAGGGCTGGGGGATCCCTGCAGCACCCGCCTCCCTCGCACCCCACTTTAGGCTAGCACGGGCTAACCCGGGGTCTCTCCTTGCCCGGCCCAGCACAGACAGAGCGTGAAGTTAGGTCTGTTTTTTGTTTTTTTTTTTTTTTTTTGGCAGGGTCTGGACCCCTCACGTCACCCAGGGGATGGGTGCAGGCTCTGCTCCCACCGCGGCAGGGTTTGGGGCTCAGCCCCCTGCCCGCGAATGCTCCGGTCCGGGGGGGTGGGTCTGTGCTGGGGTGCCCCGGCCCGGGATGATGCCCCGGCCCGGGATGATGCCCTGGCCCGGGATGTGGACGCGGCAGCCGCCCTGTCCCGGCGGCTGCTTTAAAGGGAGGGACGGAAGCCTGACCCGGCCCCGGGCTCGGCCGAGCCCTTAAAACCTCCCCCTCGGGGCGGCTGAGCCAGGTCCGACCCCACCATGGGCTCCCTGGGGCGCTGCCTGCCCCGGAGCCTGCTGCGGGGGCAGCTGGCCCTGAGCCACCCCCCCGGGCCCCGCCGCTACGGCTCCGGTGAGACACGGCCCCTTCCTGCCCCCAGGACCCTGTCCCCATCCTTGTCCTGCCCTTGGGGACCCAGTCCCCAGCCCTGTTCTGCTTTCGGCTCCTTCCCTATCCTGCTGCTGGGGATCCTGTCCCCATCCTCATCCTGCCCCAGAGGACCCTGTCCCCATCCCCAGTGCTACCCTCAGCCTCTTCCCTGTCCTGCCCCCTGGGGACCCACTCCCGATCCCCGTCCTGCTTCGGGGCACCCTGTCCCCATCCTCAGCCTGCCCGTGGGGTCCAAGTCCCCGGCCTGTCCCAACCCTCAGGGCTCGTGTCCCCATCCCCTCCCAGTAACCCCGGTCCCCCAGTGCCCTTGTCCCTCTGTCCCAGGGGCAGCCCCCCAGGAAGGGCGTCCGTCTCACGGGGTCCTTCGCTTCTTTTTGGTGCGAGTCGGTGCCGGGGTCTCCTGTCCCCCCACCCTGTGTGCCAGGATGGGGCAAAGGCTGCAGCTGGTGGTTTCCCAGATGCCACCCTGAAGGTCCCAAAGGGTTTGGTGTCCCCAGGGCCGCAATGGGGCGACCCCTGTGCTGTCTTGGGGGTGGGGGGACAGGGTTGGAGCCTGGTGAAGCCAGGCCACATCCAGCAACACCCAGAGGAGGGTGAACTGGTGGGGTCGCTTATCCCACTCTGCCCCTCACAGCCCAGGACAGGACCCCAAAGCCTGGGGCTGGCAGCGAAATGCCCCGGCTTGGCGTCATCCTTTCCCTTTCTCTCCTTCCTGTCCCCTCTGCCCCTCAGCAGACAGGATGCACTGTCCCCTGGGGGACTCGTGTCCCCTCCTGCCAGCGCGGCGCGGTGGGATGAGGGCGGAGGTGGGCGATGCCGGGCCCTGCTGTGCCACGGTGCTCAATTTGGCTGCGACCAGGGGACCCGCTTTGTGCCAGGGCTGGTGCCCGGCTGCCTCTGCGCAGGGAGAAGCACCCGAGGCCGGGCAGGAGCGATGGCACGCAGGGTGGCACCCATGTCACCGGGATGCGGCAGTGCGGTGTGCGCTCGGCTAAAAGCAGAGCCAGCCTGTCCCACGCTGGGTTAAAGGGTGTTTCTCAACCACGGACATGTCCCCAACACCCATCAAGCCTTTGCAGTGTGTCCTTTGGGTCCCTGCTGGGATACCACCAGTCTGCAAGGTGCAACTCGGCCAGGGGGACACAGCCCGGGCGTGGGGACGGGGTCACCCCGCGGCAGCCGGTGCCCACTGGTACCACGGGAGCAGCTTGGGGTCCTGCTGCCCCAACCCAAGCCCGTGTCCCATGCCCGGTGGTGACACTGGTCCCTCCGTCCCCGTGCAGCCCCCTCGGAGCTGCAGGAGAAGACGCTGGTGCTGGTGAAGCCGGATGCGGTGCAGCGACGGCTGGTGGGGAACGTCATCCAGCGCTTCGAGCAGCGCGGCTTCAAGCTGGTGGCCCTGAAGCTGCTCCAGGTACCCCTCCTCGCTGAGCTGCCGCCCGTCCCCCCGGGGGACCCTGCTCCCCGAGCCCTGCAGCCGGCTCAGGGGGGTGCCGGGTCAGTGGGGGACACTGGCTGGGTGTTCCCACTGTCACCCCACGCTGCTGTCAGGCGGACCGGGGTCTCCTGGACAAGCACTACCAGCAGCTGCGGCAGAAGCCCTTCTACCCCGCGCTCCTCGCCTACATGACCTCGGGGCCACTGGTGGCCATGGTGAGGGGATGGGGCGGGGGGTTTGGGGGGGGGTCCCAGGAGGGTCTGGGAGACTCGGGTGTCCCCTGTTCCAGGTGTGGGAGGGCTACAACGTGGTCAGGTCCACGCGGGCCATGGTGGGGGACACCGACTCGGCGGCGGCGGCGGCGGGCACGATCCGGGGGGACTTCAGCATGCACGTCAGCAGGTAGGGGCGCGGGGCGGGCGGCGGGGCGGGCGGCGGGCCCCCCCGCCCCGCGGCCGCGGCACCGTCCCTGTCCCTGCGCAGGAACGTGGTCCACGCCAGCGACTCGGTGGAGACGGCCCAGCGGGAGATCGGCTTCTGGTTCCAGCGGGATGAACTGGTGGCCTGGGAGAGCGGAGACCGGGACTACACCTACGGGCCCTAGGGCGGCCCTGCCCGTGGGGTGACCCCCCCGGCCCCAAAATAAACCCCGGTGCCTCCAGCCGCATCTCCGACCTTCTCCCTCGGATGCCACCAGCAAGTGGTGGGGGACTCTGGGGGGCACTGGGATGTCCCCAGGGGGTACTGGGAAGCTCTAGTAGGCACTGGCATGTCCCTGGGTGGTACTGGGAAGCGCTGGGATATCACTGGTGAAATGTTGGGATGTCCCTGGAGAGCACTGGGGTGGTACTGGGATATCCCTGGCGGGTAGTGGGTTGGTTCCGGGAAGCTATGGGATGCACTGGGCTGTCCCTGACAGGCACTGAGGCAGCACTGAGAAGCACTGGGAGGTACTGGCACGTCCCTGGGGAGGCAGTGGGCTGTCCCCTGGGGGTCACTGAAGTAGTACTGGGTGGCACTGGGAAGCTGTGGGAGAAACTGGGATGCTGTGGGGTGCACTGGGCTCTCCCTGAGGGTCACTGGGGCGGCCCTGGGAAGCTGTGGGAGACACTGGGATGCTGTGGGGTGCACTGGGCTATCCCTGAGGGTCACTGGGGCATCCCTGGGAAGCTGTGGGAGACACTGGGATGCTGTGGGGTGCACTGGGCTATCCCTGAGGGTCACTGGGGAGGCACTGGGAAGCTGTGGGAGACACTGGGATGCCGTGGGGTGCACTGGGCTATCCCCGAGGGTCACTGGGGAGGCACTGGGAAGCTGTGGGGTGCACTGGGCTATCCCTGAGGGTCACTGGGGTGGTACGGGAAAGCTGTGGGAGGCACTGGGATGCTGTGGGGTGCACTGGGCTATCCCTGAGGGTCACTGGGGCGGCCCTGGGAAGCTGTGGGAGGCACTGGGATGCTGTGGGGTGCACTGGGCTATCCCCGAGGGTCACTGGGGCATCCCTGGGAAGCTGTGGGAGGCACTGGGATGCTGTGGGGTGCACTGGGCTATCCCCGAGGGTCACTGGGGCATCCCTGGGAAGCTGTGGGAGGCACTGGGATGCTGTGGGGTGCACTGGGCTATCCCCGAGGGTCACTGGGGAGGCACTGGGAAGCTGTGGGAGGCACTGGGATGCTGTGGGGTGCACTGGGCTATCCCCGAGGGTCACTGGGGCGGCCCTGGGAAGCTGTGGGAGACACTGGGATGCTGTGGGGTGCACTGGGCTATCCCTGAGGGTCACTGGGGAGGCACTGGGAAGCTGTGGGAGACACTGGGCTGTGTCTGGGAGCACTGGGGCGGTACTGGGAAGGTCCGGGAGGTGTGGGGACGCTGTAGGAGGCACCGGGCTGTCCCCTGAGGGCAGCAGGTCACCGGGGGAGGCAGGGACGGGGGGGGATCTGCAGGGGGCCCCCGGGATATCACTGTGAGGGACGGGGGCGGCTGGGATGTCCACGGCACACCAGTGTGCCACTGGGGACACTGGGCGGCACTGTGGGACGCCGCTCCGCTCCCGCGCCGTTGCCAGGCGACGGGCGGTGCCGCGCTGCGCATGCGCGAGTGGGGGGGGGGGTGTGGGCGGGCGGTGCCCGGAGGGGACTACCCGTCCCGGCAGCCCTTGCGCCGCCATGGCGGAGGCCGCGGCCGCTCGGCCGCCGCAGGACGTGGATACCGATGACTGTCTCCGGGAGTACCGGCACCTCTTCAGCCCCGACATCCTGGCGTGAGTGCCGGGGCGATGGGGCAGCCAGGGCGATGGGGGCTGCGGGGCGATGAGGGCGCCGCGGGGCCGCCGCTCGGGGTGAAGAGCTGCGCGGCCTGCGGAGCGCGGCCTGTTCCGCCCGCTGCCTGAGGCCCGGCCGGGGCTGCCCGCGCCGGGCACTCGATTCTCGCCGGTTCTCACCGCCCATTCTGTTCCCCCCCTTCCAGCGGCCAGGTGGCGTTTATCACCGGCGGCGGCTCGGGCATCGGCTTCCGCATCGCCGAGATCTTCATGAGGTGCGAGAGCCCGGCGGCGGGAGGGTTTGCCGGGCCTCGGCGGGACGGGCGGCGACACAACCTCCCTTCCCCTGAGGCGGCTGCGGTGGCGGGGCCTGGAAGAGGTGGGGGGACGGGGGGGGGATGCGGAGTCCTCCCGGGAGCCGTGGGCTGAGGATTTGGGCAATTCGCGGGGCTGGGGGAGGCCGGGGCTGGGGCAGGTCTCTAGTGTGCTGCGACTCTCCTCGTTGCGTCCCACAAGCCTCGAGGAGCAGCGGTTCCTCCCGTGCAAGGGCACTGTGCTACCTCCCACCAACCGAGGTCCTGGTAATCCCCAGAGGTCCGAGATGCTAGTGAGGAGCCGTTGCTCTGGTCCTCCTCACCAGCCCTTTCTTTGCAGGCATGGCTGCCGGACGGTCATTGCAAGCCGGAACCTGCAGCGAGTGTCAGAGGTGAGTCTGTGGGCACTGGTGGAGCAGGCAGGGAGAAGGGAGAGTCGTGAATGCCTGGAAATCTTTCTTCTCTTCTCTGGGAGGAGTGCAACAGGAGACATTACCTGTGCTGCCCCGTCTTTTCCTGGCTCAAAGTGATTTGACACCAGCCAGCAGTGGTGACGGGGCAGGACAGGTGCAGATTTAGGGTGGACTGCACCCCCTGCACCTCACAGTTCAGCTCGGTTAACTGTGGAACTCGCCACCTTGCTTTGGGGGTGTCTATTCCAGATAGCACGTTGCCTTTTTGAAACAGAAGGAAACAAACGGTGAGGCAGGTTTGTCAGCAGGGAATTGGCGGGGCCCAAGGTCAAGCTTAAATCTCAGCTTTGTGTGGGACAAGACCCCCTCGTCCAAGGATTACGCAGGTTGAGGTGGGTACGCTGAGCCCCAAAATCTCTGTTATCTCGTGTTTTGAGACAGAGAGGAGGGTGCAGGTCTGGAAAGCGGTGACTGAGGAAGTTGTATGAGACTTGCTACCATACAGATGGCTGGGCAGGACAGACCCCTGCCCCTGTGTGCCTGACTTCGAGCTGGAGTTTCGCTGGTCTCGCTTTCAGCTGGTCACAGTCACAGTTTTCCCTCACTGTGGCTTGTGCTGTGGTCTTGGGCTGGAAGCGGCCGTGAGAGAGCTTTGTGTTAGTTGTATGTGGATTTCAGCGAAATATAATAAAGGTCAAAACTTGGGACTGAGCTGGCCTGAGCTGGCTGCCTCCCAGAGACGGTTAGTGCTGCCATTTCGCATTTTGCCCGGGCTCTTGACGTTCGGTGTATGTGTGTGCTAGTTGAGGCTCAAAGCTTCTCGCAGGAGGGCCTGATGAGACCAAGGAGGAAGGTGGAATGTCGCTGAGTTTGTGCGTCCCCTGCACTTAATTTGCTGGGGGGGGGGGGGGGGGGGGGGGGAGTCAGTCATGTTCTTAATGAGCACCTGGAGGATGGCTTGTGGCAGACACTGAGCCACTCTACCACGCAGGCAGAGACCCTGGAAACTGCTAGTGTGCATTTGCCCTTTTGCCTACTGATGTTTTTTGGATCTTAAGATTAATTATGTCTGGGCTCATGCCAAAAATGCTTTGTGTGGGTCCAACCTTTGTGCTTGCCCTGCAGAGGTGTTGCTGGGGGGATGTGTTGTGTCAGGGACAGGCCATGGGGATAACTAGGCTTAGGGAGTTGTGGCCTCAGGGCCACCCTGGAGTCTGATTGGGACATGATGTGCAGGAGCTTTCTCTGGCTACCCCAGGGCTTTAGCTGCAGGGTGCTGCAGGGCAGAAGCTGGCTGTGGTTAGGCAGGTCTCTGCCCTGCCCACACTGTTTGCTGAGTGCTGGCAGGGACTTGGCTCCTGCCTGACTTCTTGCTGCCTGTTACAAGGTCTGGATCTTACTCCCAGTGAAGGAAAGAATCCCGGAAATAATTGCAAGTCGTTTTTTTTTTTTTAATTTGCAGGCCTCAAAAAAGCTGGTGGCAGCCACAGGCCAGCAGTGCCTGCCCCTCTCCATGGATGTCAGGCAGCCCCAAACCGTTGTGGCAGCAGTGGATGAAGCACTAAAAGAGTTCAAGCGGATTGACATCCTCATTAATGGTGAGCTGCTGGACTGGGCAGGGGGAAGATTTGGCACAGACTCACTGCTAAAAAGGGCATTTTCCTGCATGGAAGTTGTGTTTGCCTGGTGTCTGGCTTATGCTGCTTTGGCCTGGGCAGCCCCTGGGAGCGCAGAGGGGACGGACTCAGATGAAGCAGAGACTCATTTGTGATACGTGGCCATCCGTGCTTGCCTGGGTGTGGATCATCCCTGCTCCCACTGCACCAGCACCCTCCTGCCCTCAGGCTGGCTGCGCTGCTGGGCGCCTGGAGCCACAAGCTGTTTATCCCTTTATCAGGGCTGTTTCCACATGCTCTCCAGTCTACCCAGACAGTATTGTTCACTGGCCCTCTCACAGAAGTGCCCTGAACATGCCTGATCTCTCCTGGACCAGTCCTGACTGTGCTTCTGGCTGCTTGTTCTTCAGGTGCTGCGGGAAACTTTCTGTGCCCAGCCAGTGCCTTGTCCTTCAATGCCTTCAAGACAGTGATAGACATTGACACCCTTGGCACCTTCAACACCTCCAAAGTCCTCTTTGAGAAATATTTCCGGGTAAGTGGAACCAGAGCCAGGGGACTCGGTGGAGAGGCTCCTGGTAGGTGTGGGGTTAGTGTCAAATAAACCACACTTTGCTCCTGAGAAATTCAGGGAAGTGAGGGGGTGGGGCAGAAGGGAGCGCAGCACCTGCGTACGCAGGGCTGTGCTGCTGGGCCTCTGCCACCCACGCTGCCGAGATCCAGCCCGTTCCCTCCCAGGGATGGCAGCCCCCGTGCAGGAACTGGGATTCCTGCCTGTCCCCAGCCCCGGGGCTTTTAACTGTTGTGGCACCTTTCCATGTTCTGCCACCTACTGAGGAACAAGCTGTGGCCTGCTGCTCCTTTTCCAGCTCCTCTGCTTTCCCTTGGCCTTTGCCTGTGCCCTGTATCTCCCACCTCACTGGAAGGGCCCCGCTGGCTGCCCAGCTCAGTGATGGCTGCCCCAGTGATGGTTTAGCAACACAGAAGTTGCAGTGCCCACGGGTGACCATCCCTCCTAGCCCAGCTTGTCCCACCACTCCCCTGTGGGACTTCTGGTCCCTGCCTAACACCACGTCTCCTTTCCATCCCCAGGACCATGGTGGGGTCATCGTTAACATCACGGCAACCCTGAGCTACCGAGGGCAGGCCCTCCAGGTGCATGCTGGTGCTGCTAAGGCTGCCATAGGTACCTAAACGCTCCTTGCTGGGGCTGTGTGGGGCCAGTAAGGAAGTTGGTTCTTCCTGAGTATTGGGATGGGAAGATGTCCTTGGGAGAGGCAAATATCAATTGGGATGGCTACTACGTGCCTGGGTTTGGGATGAGGCTCTTCTCTCCTCCTAGGCTCTTCTAGGGCGCTTTGCCCTTGGCCAGAGTCTCTGTGGCTTTTTGCCCCTCGCTGCCCCCATCCCCAAAAAAGCTACTGGAACGGCTCTGCTCTCCACTTCTCATTCCTGTTGTAATCCCTTCCCAGATGCCATGACCCGTCACCTGGCTGTGGAGTGGGGACCCAACAACATCCGAGTGAACAGCTTGGCACCGGGCCCCATTACCGGCACCGAGGGCTACCGGCGGCTGGGTAAGGCAACCTGGGGCTTCTGTCTCTGCCTTGGCGGTGGCTTGCGGGCCTCAGGCTGGGAGGAGACTGTGATGGGCCACCAGTGCCACGCAGCTCATGGGGCGTGTGATGTGGCCGGGGCTCTCTGTGACTCGGCTGGCACGTCAGTTTGGGGGAGCAGCCCTTCCCACATCCTCGGTACCTCGCAGGGACCTGATTTTTCTCTGTCGAGTGGCGGCTTTTTGTGCTGTCTGGTGCCATGGCGTAACGTGCTCAGCCTGGCCAGCTGCCTTGCCTGATGGTTTAGCTCTTGCAGTCCTGTCAGCAGAGTGTCAGTTCAGCCCTGGAGGCTGGGAAAGCTCTCTGAGGTCCTGTTGAGCTCACTGTTGCGGTACAAATCCCACTGCTGGGCTGGAGCTCCCCTTGTTAAACTCTGCTCAGGCCTTTTGTCTCTGGGCTGTCCCCAGGGCTGTGCCAGGATCTCATCTAGGTTCTCTGGGGCTCTCGGCAAGCCCCATGCAAGCTGTGCTGCAGTGTCTGGCAGGCAGTGGTGGTGGGGAAGTGGTCCCACAGTCCTAGCTGACTCTTTCTTCTACCACTCTTAGGTGGGAAATTTGCCGAGGAAGCAAGCCAGTTTGACACGATCCCCCTCCAGCGTGCAGGGAACAAGACAGAGATCGCCCACAGCACGCTGTACCTGGCGAGCCCCCTCTCCTCCTACGTGACGGGCACCACCCTGGTCGTGGATGGCGGGAGCTGGCTGACCTCTGCCAACAACTTCCCTGCCTTGCTGGGTATTGCTTCATCCTCTGCTAAACTCTAGGTGATGTGCATTTCCCCCTCCGTGGGATTAGAGCAGGGCTTGTGTCAGAAACCCTGTTGCCCCATGGTATAGGGACATGGCTGCCATAACACTGGTTATGGCATTACCTTCTTTCAGTGTCCTGAGCTCCCGAGGCAGCTGTGTGGCATGTGCTGTTTTGGGGAAGAGGGGGCAGATGCTGGCTGTCGGGGTCTCCGTGTGAGGGCAGCCAGCTCAGGTCTCGACTTGTCAGCGCTTGTTCTCAAACCTTCCTCTGCTTTTGGGAAGGTGGAGCAGGGTCACCCCCCGTGCTGTTGTCAGAGCAGGCACAGAGCAAAATAGGGAGCATCTTTGTGGACAGTCCTAGGGGTGACTTGGGAAGGGCAAGAGAACTTGCTGGCTTTTTCCTTTGAGCCTGTGGTTGACGTGGTATCTCCTGTCGTACCTGAAGTGACGTGATGCCCCTTTCCCGTGCCTCAACCAGCAGGACTGGGCACAGAGAGTCCTGACAAACCTCTGCCTCCCCTTTCTTCCTTGCACGAGTTATTGCAGCGTGTCTTGTGTTGCAGTTGGTTTGCACACAGGGCTGACGTTGGCTGCATACCTCTGCAGAGGTGTGAAGGGAGCTGCCTGAAGGTTGCTGGGGCCTGGTGCTTTCTGGGAGAGGGGTCTTCTTTCTTCCCCTCTCCCCCTGCTCGGGTCCTGCCGGGCAGCCTCCGTGAGGAGCGCAGGCCCAGGCAGGCCTGTGTACCCACCTCCGTGCTGTCTTGCAGATTTCTGGGCTGCAGGAGCAAACAAAAATCAATAACGGACAGCCTGGGATGGACTGATGGACAGAAACGTGACCGAACGCTGCTGCTTGGGGCCCATCTCGGGGCGACTTCTCCCAGAGTCAGAGCCGATAGCTGCCGCCTCTGATCAGCGACCGGTGGTTGGTGGTGACGCTGCTGATCCTGCATCCGCCTGGGGGAGGGGGCACCGGGGGCGCCAGCTGGGAGCGAGCCCACCCCCGTGCTGGGCCGTGACTCCCTTCTGAGCTGACGTGGCCAGGGACAGCGCGGGGTGCGCGGGCTGTGATGCTTGCTGTCCGTTTGTGTCTCCTTCCACGTTGCTCTCCTGGCCTTTCCCAAGTTCCAGGCCCGTGGTTATCCATCCTCTTCCTCCCCTCTCCCCCATCTCAGTCTGAGAGCTGCCCCAGCAGCAGCTCCTTTTTGGGAGGGGGGGGGGAGTCATTCAGCCCATCCTGGGTTGAGATCAACCTTCATGCCTGGGCCAGCTCTGCCTTGACAGCAGCAGCTGGCAGCTCTTGGAGGGGAAACAAAGACCAAGCTGGCCCCTGGCAGGGGAAAAGGGCCCCGTCCCCTCACGGGGAGGGGGGCTCGGATGGGGTGGTGGTCCCTGGAGGCTGATGCAGATGCAGCTGGGATGTCCCTCTCCCAGGAGCAGAGGTGGTGTGAGGTCAGATCCCCCCAGAGCTGGCTCTGTACTGCCATGGGCTGTAGCACTGTATCTGTTGGGAGCCCGAGATGTCCAGTTGTCTGTCCGGCACCCGTCTGTCTGTCACGCCAGTCTCACGCTGTCTCCTTTCTTCGTACAGACACTACAGCTGAGAGTAAATCAAGGGCTAGCTGAAATGCAGTCCTTTCCGATCAGGGCGCTGAGCTGAGGAGCTGCAGGGGCCGCACCGGGTCTGCGCTGGGCTGCCGGGGCCAAACCCATCCCTGGTGCCAGCGCCTCAGGGATACACACACCACTCACACGCAGCGGCCTCCTGCTGCTGCTGGCAATTTTTAAGCTTACCCTGAATTCAGTGAAGCTTGTTTTCCTGCTTGATTGCCTTTCCTACTTGATTGTAGGCTTGCCAGGTTTTGCTCCTTCCTCCAGGCCACGAATAAAGAACTTCCACCCTGAGCTACGATGCTGCTCATCGGTTTGCCTGCGCCGGGGGCTGAGCCTGCAGCCTCCGACTGCCGGGAGCTCGGGAAGGAGCTTGTGCTCCTCGTCCTCCTGGCAGTGGCAGGAGCTGTAGGAGGCTCAGTCACATCTGTGGTCGGAGCATCGCTGCTGCACCGGCAAAACCAGCAGCTGTGCTCGGCCCTGCCCGCTCGTGGTCCGGATTGAGCCCTGAGGGAGAACGGAGGGTCCACGTCTTTAACTGTGTCTTGTTTAATCCCGACCAAGCGAGTTTAAGGACAACGACTGTCCCTGCCTGTGGTAACAGATGTGGTCCCTCCTGGAGGCTTCGCTTTAGCCAAACCCCTGGCAGCCCCCCGCCCCGCCGTGAGTGGGTGTGGGGGGGGACAGGGACAGGGGGAATCTGCTGTGATGTGCCGGCCTCAGGCTGGGTTGACACGGGGCAGAGGGGGAGCCCTGTGCCCACAGGGAGCAAGGTGAGGCTTCCACCCTCCCTGCACTGAGGTGCTCGAAGGTGCTGCGGCCGAGCCCACGGCGCTCAGGGCTCGGTGCTGAGCTGGGCTCCTGGCCCAGCTGCTGTGGGTGCCACCCCAGAGCTTCCTGAGTGGGAGCTGGGGGTGGCAGGAGGAGGGCAAGCTCCTGTGCGAGGGGATCATAACGCTGAGGGGATTTTGCAGGGGATGGTTTAGGCAGATGTCTCCCAGGGTGGGCAGCCGGGAGTTTTCCTCCCGTGGGGGTGACAAACGAGCCCCCTCCTGCCCCAGTGAGCATTGACCAAAAGGATTTGGCGCAGAGGTTTCAATCCTTCCCAGCCCCGGATGGGGAATTTTTTCCCTCCCTCTCATCCAGGGCTGCTGCTGAACCCCGGCGTTTGGGGCTGAAGGTGCCGGGGCTCCCCAGCTTCGGGAAAGCCGTGCTGGGGGCGGGGGGGGGGGGCCACATCGTGTGTGCCAAACGCGTCCCCCGCGTCCCTCCCCCGGGCAGCCTGGCGACGAGGGTGGCGGCGGCCAGGGATGCTCTTGCTCATTAGGTTTGTTGCTAATTACACCCCGGTTCGGTGCCCGCCCCGGGGTTCGGTGATTTTCCCCCCCACCACTGGACGGGGAAAGGGGGGGGGGGGGGGGCGGCGGCACGTGCATGAGCAGGGGCGGGGCCTCCGCGGGGGGGGGGGGGAGGGGAGAGCGCCGCACTTGCAGACGAGTGACGTCACCGCCGCCGGCTACTGCAGCGGCTACCGGGCCGGATCTGGTGGTTCGCCGCGGGCTGCCCCGGAGCGGCGTCGCGGGCGGGCGGCGCGGTTGTTTGTTTGTCGGCGCCGCCCGCCTCCTTCCCGCATCCCTGCGGGACGGCGGGGGAGGAACCGGCGCTCGGAGCCGCCGCTCCCGGGCGGGCGGGGCGGGGCGGGGCGGGGCGGGGCGGAGCGGCGGCACCGCCCCCGGTGGCGGCGGGGCGGGCGGGCGGGGCCGGCGCCGCCTCGCACAAAGCCGTGTGCCCGGGTGCGGGCGGAGCTACCGCTGGGACCGCACTGGCACCGGCATCACCGGTTACCGGCACCGCCCCGGCGGGCGGCCGCGATGTGATAGGGGGTGATGGCCGCGGGGCATGGCCGCCGGGCGGCGGCGGCGGGGCGGGCGGCGGCGGGCGCTGAGCGCCGCCGGTGAAAATGGAGCCGCATCCGCCGGCGGCCGTGCCCGAGCCCCCGCTCCCCCGGGGGCCGCGGCGGGACGGGCCGGGGCCGGAGCCGGAGCCGGGCCTCTGGGCACCTGAGGCCGCCGAGCCTGCCCTAGGGCCGCCGCCGTGGTCGCCGCCGCCGCCGGAGGAGGAGGAGGGGGGGGGCTGCCCGGCCCTGGAGGGCCCCGCCGAACCGGAGCCGCGCCTCCGCCCCGTCTTCGACGCCCTGGACCGCGACGGCGACGGCTTCGTGCGTGTGGAGGATTTCGTCCAGTTCGCCACGGCCTACGGGGCCGAGCAGGTGAGGCCGGCGGCTCCCCCCCAGGGCTGGGCCTCCCCTCGCACCTGCCCGGCCCCTCGCGTCCGTGGGGCCGCGTGTCCCCCCGGGGATGGGGCCGTGGGCGCTGGGTGTGAGGTGGTGTCGCTGGTCCCCGCCGCCGGGCACCGGGAGGCTCCGTGCTGGCCCGTCGGCGGTCCCCTCTCCGCCGAAGGGGCGATCAGCAAAGGCTCATCGTGCCGGCAGCCCTCGGAAGAGCTTTGAACACGAGCGACACAGCATCACGCCCCACGGGCCTCCTGCTCGTCCCGGGTGGAGGTTGTGCGTGGGCTTCGAGGGATGCAGGAGGTGCGGAGGGAGCCCGGTGAAGCTGGAGCTCGCCTTTTCCGTCTCCCAGTCCGCTGGGAGAACAGAGCATCTCGGCAGTGCCGCCCGGAGCCCCGCGTCCTCCCTCTTTGTTCTCCATCACTAACGCGTTTAGGTTTGTCCGAGCAGCTCCTGTGTAAGGCACCAGCAGCGAGATTCCGGGATCTCAAGCTGCTCCTTGCCCCCCTCGGCACCCAGGGTCCCCGCGGGGGCTCGCTGCCACCGTGCCAAGCACGGAGCCCCTCGCTTATCGTGGGTTCGACAATCCTGAATGCGCTTTTTTTTTTTTTTTTTTTTTTTTTTTTTTCCCCTCCTTTCTGCTGCTTTGTGCCATGGTGAGCTTGTGTTTCCTTGCAGCAGATCAGATGCGATGTAATTTGAAGCTGCCTGGTATGACCCAAAATGGAGAGAGCTCTAGCAGCGTACCGGGGGATGGAAATGAATTTGTTGACGTTTTGTACCTTGGCCTGTGCTGATGTTGCTGCAAGGAGAAAGGGTTATGTTTTAAGGTGTGCAGGTATTGTTACGAAGTTTCTGTGTGCGCGCCCAGGAGATCTGCTTTAATTCTGTAGCTGTAGCTGCTGCGCGTGTATTAAAGTGCCATGACAAAGCAAATCCCCATGTGAGAAGGAGTGTTTTGGTGGAGGAGGGTTTTTTATCTATGTGCTTATGGTAAAAACGCCTCTTAAAGGTAAAATCGATTTAATTTCCTTTAGAAAATACCTCAGTAAAGTAGGGATATGTAACTTCTTTGTCAGATCATTGCTGGCGAGGGGCACTGCGTGTGCAGGCGGTACCGCTTTACTGCCTCATCGCGTGAGTAACCAGGTAGCGTCACGGCACTGGGGGGGAGTTACAAGATCATCTCAGCAACGTGCTCCCGTATCCGCCGGGTGAGAGGAGCTTTCTTCAGCGTAAAGCCTCTGACTTGCATCTTCCTGCTGTGGTTCCTGCTGCGTGGCCCCCCCCCAGTCGCCGCTGCCGGCCGAGGCAGCGGGACGGATGGTTTGTTGGCGACGGCTCCCAGCCCCCCGTGTGCGATGGCCATCGCATCGGGGCACGGTGGGAGCTTGCTGGGGGTTGGGGGGCTGCTCGCCTTGGCGTGCCTCTCTTCCCCCCCGCGGGATTGCTGCGGGGCAGCCCAAGGCGGAGGGGAATAAGGGCAGGCAGACCGGGTGTGCGTGGCAGGGGACGTGGCAGCGTGTGCAGCTCAGCCCGGACCTGCCGCTCCGGCCCCGCGCAGCGCCTTGTGCCCGATTCTGAGGTGGGAATCGTGCCAGACCTTCCAGGCTGCGACAATAAGCCTGTAAAGTGCTTTGAGATCTTGGCCGGAGGAGTGCTTGCGAGCTGTTAAGGTCTCTCCTAAATTGAAGCAGGAGGTTTTGTGCCACTAAAAGCTGTCTGTTCATATAGACCCAGCTTAGAAGTGGTTGTCTGCAAGCTTCTTGCCTTGGCTGTCCCTTTAAAGTCGCTTGTTTCTTCCCACTGAGCACAGCTACCAGTAATGCTGTCCATGCTGAAATACATGATGCTTTTTAGATACACTTATCTTCAGCAAGACTCATATAGCTAGCTCTTGGCATGCAGAACAACTGTCTCTGGGTACAGCAAGTCCTGAACACCCTGGTGAGGCTGATATGACAACAGCTGAGCCAACAGGTAATGGGCACCCCAGGGAATGCAGCCTTGTACCTTTTGCAGAGGCATGCTAGAAGAGAAAAAGTCACGTTTGTGATGTCTCTATGTGCAAGAGGACTCATTACGAGCCTGCAGCTTAGAAAAGCAAGAAGGCGCACTGAGTGTGTGAAGGAGAAGGGCTTGGTGAGGGGGTCTGCAAGCTCCCAGCTGATGTGCAGAGTAATAAAGGGAGGAGTTCTGGGGAAGTTTCTTGACCTGTTTTGTTCCAAGCAGATGTAACTTGGGCCAAAAAGGGGTCCTTTGAAAAACAGAAATCCAGCTCAGGTGAAAGTTAAAGGCTAGAAATGTCACCAAGTGGGTAAAATGATGTTAAGACGACTGAAAGGAGACTTCAAGATGTGAAGAAAGGTTATACTGCAACTGGGAGTGGGAAGCTTGCAAGGGAGGTGCCAGGGTTTGATGGCTCTTGAAGGTATCGGTGGCAATCAGCAGGGAGTTAAGGAGGAGCAAATTTCAGTCCTCTTACTGTTCCTCAACTAGCAAGAGGAGGAGGAGGTACCTACTTCCTTTTCTTCTCCCTCTCTCTCCTGGCTTCTGCCCACAGGGGTGGATGCGGGGAAGGTATGCATGGTGCAACAAAGTGGGAAATTTGAGCACGGCAAGTCATTGCAGCCAGCTGATTCATCTGAGGGTTCGGGGAGGGTTGAAGGGTTAAGGAAAGCATGTGTGTGCATAACCACATGTCCTGGGGAGCTGGAGAGCAGCAAGTGTTGTCTTTAGCGTTCAGTAAAACACCACAGGCATTTATGGGCTACTGAGCTTGGTGCTGTCGGATTATTTGGCTGAAACAATTATTAGCTGAATGTCAAAGGAAAGAAACCAACTGGCATTTTTTCCATAAAAATGACATGATTGTGAATTTCTGTTACGATTTTTTTTTCTCTGCATGATGAATAGAAAAACAGGGAGGGGGGTGAGGGGTTGGGTTGGTTTTTTTTTTGCTTAAGTAGCTTGGGTTGTCAAAAGATTGTCTTTAAAGAGCTTCATGGTTGTGGTATTGGCAGTGAAGTGCTGGTATGGACTAGAAGAGATCAAGGCATGGAAAGCTAAAGACTGTTTTGCTTTTGAAATGATAGAAGTGGATAGGGACTGAGGCTCTTGCCGCTGCTTTCATATTAAAAGGTGTGTGGAAAGCATGGTGCAGCTGGGGATGCCACCCCTACGCAGGGGTGGCCTTGAGCGGAGAAGATACAGCCGTGTGACGGTCCTCCAGCAATCTGTAACGGGGAGCTGCTTCTCACACACAGACTATTGTGGCGCTTGAAAAGCTTGCTAGAACCTGTTAGGTGCTCCGCGGACTTGTAAACAAGGTGGAGAGGTCTTGAGGACAGCTTGACTTTTCATGCAAAACCTCTGGACCGCCGGGTAGTTAACATGGCAGGTGAGGCAGTTCCTAACAGCGTGTTGTATTGTGGTTGTCTCCTTTCCCTCCCCTTTATCGCTGCGCTTCACCGGGGATCTGCTGCTCCCTCGGGGCTGCTGTGCCTTCCCCCCGGCTGGTACCCAAAGCTCTGGAGTAAGGTTGGTTCAGACGGGGAGTCGGGAGGTAGGGACACACTTTACTTACGTAATTTTTCAGTCACCTTGTAAAGCAAGAAGGGTCGTGTCTTGCAGTTCTGTGGGTTGTACAGAATCTAAGGCCATTGTGCAATATTTTTAAAACAACAAATACGTAATTTGTCTCGCCTGTTGTACGGTTGTGCTGTGTCTGTCTGATTGCAGTGGCAGAGGCCAAGCCTTTTCTCACTGGATTTGTTACTAACTAGAAATGCAGGGCTGTGTCAGGGCAGAGGAGAACTGAGAGCTTGTAAGGCATACAGAGAAGCTATCCTGCTGGCACTTTTTTTTTTTTTTATCTTCCATTGTTTTGATCTAGAAGACAATTGGAAGTAGAAAAGCCTCTTGCACCACATGTTCTTGCTGTCCCTGCTCAATTAAGAGAAGCCCCAGAGTTTGTCTAAGCTACTTTCAAATGCTCCAAACTCTGTGTCATCTCTGTGCTCTGACAGAGATCTTCAGCCTTTTTTTTTCTCTTGATGATCAGTTCAAGCTTCACTTCAATGTGCTTTGTTTTGCTTTCTCTAACATTTACATCCTTCAAGTATCTGTCCTTGACTACCAGCCTTCCTCTGCCCCCACATCAGCTAATCCTCAGTTGAGCTCTCCATATTCAGCTTTTAACTATTCCTTGTGTGATGGTTTCTGAAGCTTTTTTTCAGGTTTGTTGTGCTTTTCTGACCTCCCACCACTTTTTCAGCTTCTTGTAATGAGGTGCCCAGTCTGAGCAGAGTGCTGCAGAAGAAATCACATTTTGGGGATAGCAGGTGTCACTCCAGACAGTGGCTGCAGAGAATCAGGGGGGTTATTTTTATTTTTAAACGGAGCAATCTGCAAGTTTTGGCAATTACTTTCTGGAATGAAGTCTGGATAGTGTCAAACTGCAGCTTTTTAGTGGCCTCCCCCCCACCGTGAATGCAGGCTTGCTTTTCCTGCTCACCTCTGATGGATCCCTTGGGAATTGCATACAGACCCTGGATCAAATGCTTCTTACTTCCAGCATAGTCCTCTCTTGGAGCTGCTGACATGGCATCTGATCTTGGATGACCTCCCTATTGCCCTCAGTCTTCTCCCACTTCCCTGTGAAATCTAATAGTTTGGATCACTGTCACGAGGAAACCTCTGTTTTTATTGTTTAAGTTTTTTTTTGAGGGTTCTTACATCTTTTGAGCAGAGGAAATACTGGCTTAATTTTAGAAATCTCTTATAAACAACCTTGCATGGATTCGCAGGCCATGTAAACGTGAGTGAAAATTAAATTGCCTCCAACCGTGTTGCTGCTGCTGTACCTTTCCGAGGTTTTAATTGCTGTTTAACTTTGGTGTCCGCTATTGAGAGCGGAGCTGGGATTGCAGTGAGGGCGATGCTTTGGGCGTATAATAGGTTTGAGCGTGCCTGTGGAC